CACCAGAGAATAGTGCACCAGTTATAACCTCTTTTAATGGTTGATGTTATGGTTACTCAGATATTTATGGTTACTCAGATATTTTTGTTTGCGTGTTGTTTGTTGGTGTTACCTGTACGTTAATATGGATAATATATGTGATCTCTACAATGTCAGATTAACATCCGTAACAGTAAAGAAAAGTTTGTTTGAGAATTTTCACGTAAAGCTGCACAAAGAGCTAACTCAGCTAGCCGTCTATAACTTATACATTAGAGAGTGAGGCAGCTGGTCAACAACACTCACCGCCAACTTTCGCTTTACTTTTATATGGCCGAATATTGAGATTTGACCGACACTATTATAGCGCATTCAAAGTGCTAAAGTGCGGGATGCGATCTCCCCTATTCACAGTTCGGGCAGGCTAACCACTTAGCTACACCCAGCCCGAGCCTATTAGATACTATTGTTTTTTGTTAATTAATATCCAATTTATAATAAATATTCTACTACTGAAGTATGGGCATTAGCCTCGGCTACCACTCAGGCTGAGGTGTTTGTTTGTAGTTAAGCACAAATCTACACAAAGGCCTATCTCTGCTCTGCACACCACGGGTATCGAAACCCGGTTTCTAGCGTTATACGTCCGCAGACATACCGCGCCCGGCATGGCCAGGTGGTTAGGGCGCTCGACTCGCAATCTGAGGGTCGCGGGTTCGAATCCCCGTCACACCAAACATGCTCGTCCTTTCAGCTGTGGGTGTGTTATAATGTGACGATCAATCCTTCTATTCGTTGGTGAATAGAGTATCCCAAGAGTTGGCGGTGGGTGGTGATGATTAGCTGCCTTCCCTCTGGTCTTACACTGCTAAATTAGGGACGGCTAGCGCAGATATCCCTCGTGTAGCTTTGCGCGAAATTCAAAGGAACAAAGGACATATCGCTGTGCCTTACGCGTACGGAATACAAAAGTACGGCTCTTCTCAGCTTCAGATTTATAAAAGTTCTGTAAGTCCACCATGTTGCTAGTTGAAATACCGACTGAATTGTGACAGACCTAGTATAATTTATATAAACAAATTAATACCAGTAGAAAAATAATACTCTAGTCTCAAAAATTGACAAACCAAATGTAAACATTTTTTCTACCCTTCCATTGCAATAGGAGCACGTTATGATAATATAAACCTATTGTTAAGGCCCGAATTTTGCATAGCACAACAGTAGTCCTGATTTAATGTCGTGCTATTGCAATATAAGGACAATAATGAGTCTTTTGGGGGTCGTTAAATAATTAAAGAGAACTCGCATTTTTACACGTGCATCCCTTTATACTGACATCAGCAATCATTCAGTGTCAGCAAAAATAGCATATTAATATCAATTACGTCCAAAATTAACTCGTTGTTTGTACTGTTCACTACCGATAGGTGTCCACATATTACATCACTCTTAAGTATATTATGCTTCACACTTAACACAAATCACTCGTTTTCTGTGTAAAAGATGGTATTTTTGATGCAATTTTAGTATGTGAATAGTTCATTATTAGGATCCACACAAGGAATTTGGTGAATAAATAGTTTAGAAAAATGTCAACGGAGTTTATCAATCGTTGTAGGCGTAGTTAAAATCCAAGTGTAGTATTCACGTAACGTCAGCACTGATAATCTTCTTTCACACTATTTTATAACATTATTGCACTCTGATCATCATTTTTCACACCACGTTATAACATTATTACACTCTGATAATCTTCTTTCACACTGTTATAACATTATTACACTCTGATAATCTTCTTTCACACTGTTATAACATCATTACACTCATTATGTTTTACATGCTAGATATACTATTATTACAGTGTGAAAGAAGATTATCAGAGTGAAATAATAAAGCAATATAACGTTATTACACTCATAATCTTTTTGTATGCTAGATATAACATTAGTATTATAGTCTGATAATTTTATTTCACGCTACATTACAACATCATTACACTCTGATAATCTTACACGCTGGATATAAAATTTTTACGTTATATTTGTATTTTGCCTATTCTGTCTCAGTAAAGAGAAAAATGTATTTTAATAATTTCAAGTATCCTTGCTCGACAACTTCAGTTTAGCAGCGAAAAAGCAAAATACTTTTACTTTGAGGAGAAGAAAAGAGTAACCGATTTGTATGATAAATATAAAATAAATACGTTAAAACGACAGGAATAAACACTGAACAAATTATACAACTTATCAAAATGATAAAAATTATATAATATCTAGAGTACTTTAAATGATGATACAGGTTAATCTATGTCTTGTAAGCGGTGAAATTACTTTTCTGAACAAATAATTAACGAAACGTTTCAAAACTATTACTGTTTCTGTGTGATACAAAAAGGATTTTGACAGCATCTTTAAGGTTCAATACGTAATCTCTGGTATATAGCTAATAGGTACAGAAGGATTCTGACAGCGTCCCAGAGGTTTAGTACGTAACTTCTGGTATACAGTTAATAGGTACAGAAGGATTTTGACAGCGTCCCAGAGGTTTAGTACGTAACTTCTGGTATACAGTTAATAGGTACAGAAGGATTCTGACAGCATCCCAGAGGTTCAATACGTAATCTCTGGTATATAGCTAATAGGTAAAGAAGGATTTTGACAGCATCTTTAAGGTTCAATACGTAATCTCTGGTATATAGCTAAGAGGTAAAGAAGGATTTTGACAGCATCCCAGAGGTTCAGTACGTAATCTCTGGTATATAGCTAATAGGTACAGAAGGATTTTGACAGCATCTTTAAGGCTCAATACACAACCTTTGAATAACTAACAAGAATATTGTTTGTCATAAATACGTTTCACTATGTCGATGTTTAAAGAATACGAATGTAATGTAATCTTGTTGATGTAAATCAGATGTTCCAGTTTCGAACCTATAATTTGTGTGGAATAATTTTTAGTAGCACTTTTAGCATATTTACCTTTTAGCTGAGGTTACGTTATTATAGATGTATTCATGAAATGTAACTTCTGACGGCCATTTGTATTCGCTTCTCAGTAATTATCGAAATGGGGTATGCTAAAGTATATTTCCCAGGCTTAAAGGTTTAAGATTACCCCATTCCCCCGGAAAATAATCCTAGCGACACCACTGCTGACAGCTATGATTTATGTACAAAGATTATGTCAAATGTATTAAAATAATAACAACGACTTTTGCTGATAGCTGACACATTATATGGAATAAGATGTCATGTCCTTTAAAAAAAAGTCGGTTGAGAATGTGTTGATATTTCTTAGATGTTATTCCAAGCTATAATCTCAATCCATGGGTTTTAGTATTCTAAAAATTAACATATTTAACAGCATTATTCAACGTTGGAAATTAAGTAAACAGTATTACTGAAATAATGTACCTATACAAACTAATCACTGTTATTTTATTGATTCCTTTTCTACATAATGACATTCAATCTCGTTTATTATCATTAACTTCTAATCAAAGCAAACTACCTTCAGAGATCAGAACTGAAAATTAACCCAACTATGAATGCAGTTAAAGCAATCAACGTATAATACAGGGTATTGAATCATCAGTTGTATATTCTCGCTGTTAGCGACATTTTCGGCCGTAATCCCAAGAATAGTTCATCAGGTTCAAACATCTTAGAAGTAGGTTAGACCTAAATCCATATACTAAGCTGACAGCGCAAAATAATTCTCATGATAGGATATAAATGACAGAAAAATAATAAAAAGAAATACGTTATATCTATTAAATTATTTAACTAATACTAATAATGAAACTAACATTAAAAGAATAGAATATAACTCACTTACAAAGACTTTAAAACAAGTTCATTGTCCCATTCACTATCACCGATTCGCTGTCCAATGAAAAGCGTGACAACACTGTATTAAGGCAGGTGAGTTGCGTGAAAATGAATTTAAGAAATTTGATAAAACATACAAATCATTGTTTATCTTCAACACACGTAGAAATATCGTCTACTTAACGCCCGCGGAAAATCGTTATTATCACTAATGAGGCTTACCCAGGCAAGAAAACGGTTTTCTAAAGTTAGTTAGCCGTGAAGCATAGTTGGTGTTGGAGTCATTAGAATGTTAATAAACCATAACTTTTATTGATAGTAAAATGTTTTGTACAAGATCCATGGCCTTCTGTAACTTGTTGGATATTGACAAATTATCACATTAAAAAAACAAACAAAAAAAGAAACGTTTTACGTTTTAGTGTAGGCTGGGTGAGAATGGAAAAGAAAAGAAACTCGTATGTTATTTTGATAAACTAAATTTAGTGCCTGTAAATCGGTTGATAGCTACAGTAGATACGGAATAATGTTACAGAACTTTCTGATACACATCGCTAACCCTAAATCAAGAATATTAAAGTTCGTTTTGCTTCAGTAATTATCTGTTAAAAAAGAACAATGAAAAGCAAGCAGGCAACAGGAGTATGTTAAAGTCACGTGATATTAGGTACATGATTGTTGTATTGAAGTACCAGGGTATATTCCACATTCTTATCACTTTCCATACCCATTTTAAAATAATAAAACTGTCCATATTGTGCACCTATTGCTCTGAAATAAATATCAGGCTATTTTGATCAGCTTAGTTTAGATGGTTGTGGATTATTTATTTTCGCAAAAATGGAGGGGGTTTGGTGGTGTGGGCGGAACTGAATTTATTAATTACACTATTTACAAGTGCACGAGCCTTAATTACGTATTGACCTTGTTGCAGTGTAGGTATGTTAAAAATAGTTGCATGTTCATAAAATATATCAATGCAGATAAATAGATAAAAAAAAGTTTTCAAATGGCTTTTTCTGAAGTTTCATTTAAACTCATTAAAATATTGTTAGGGAAGTTATAAATTAATCTCTTTGTGGCGAATTTCGAATAACTGGTGATTTTACCGTCTATTTAAAGAGATGGAGGAGGGGGGTGGGGTGGAAATGCATTATAAAATAAAAAGAATATGAAACCGTAACTAACCTGTGGAGGTTGTATTAGTGTCAGCATCTACGACACGTCTTGGCGTGTGTGCGCCCTCTACCGGTGATGGTAGCTGTACCGGGCTTCTTTTCCTTTTTTTGAGAGCTTCCTCTGGGTCAATGGAAAAGCTATTCTTCGTTCGGTCAACATCAGGACTGGAGTTTTTTTGGGGGTCTAAAAACAGCTTAGAAACACCGTACGTTTCTTCGTATTTTGATGACATGGTCGACTCGCTGTCCTTTTTACACAATGTGGCCGATATGCTTGACCGTCTTGAACGGAAGATACTAGTACCACCATCGTCCCTCTTCTCAAAGTCTTCGTCGCCATAGTACACACAGTTTTCTTTATTACAACTATGTACTTTGTGCTGGATAAATTTCACAATGTCCGATAAGGCGAAGTCTTTCTGACACACACCGCACGTTAACACGTCTTGAACAATGACCGGGTCAGCTGTTGAAAAAAAACAACAAACAAAACAACATTTCAATGTGCAAAAAAAAAGTAAAAGCTATGAGGAGAAGTTTCTGGTATTTTTTGCTAAGTCATGAAAAGTTTTTAACATAAAGACTAAATTCGAAAGCTTTGTTTTTTTTTCATAAGATTTATAATTATAAACACAACATAACGTCATCCTCTATAGATGAAGCTAAAATGCTATTTTATAAACTTATTACAGACGGAACTATACAAAAAAACCTGGCGCTTCCTTCTGACTGGTACAGATAATATAATATGAACTATAAGTTTGTTACATTCTTCATTATTGTGAACATAGGTGTGGACAACAAGTTTGTTACATTCTTCATTATTGTGAACATAGGTGTGGACAACAAGTTTGTTACATTCTTCATTATTGTGAACATAGGTGTGTGGACAACAAGTTTGTTACATTCTTCATTATTGTGAACATAGGTGTGTAGACAACAAGTTTGTTACATTCTTCATTATTGTGAACATAGGTGTGGACAACAAGTTTGTTACATTCTTCATTATTGTGAACATAGGTGTGGACAACAAGTTTGTTACATTCTTCATTATTGTGAACATAGGTGTGGACAACAAGTTTGTTAAGTTCTTCATTATTGTAAACATAGGTGTGGATAACAAGTTTGTTACATTCTTCGTTATTACGAACAGAGGTTTGAACTACAAATTCACTACAGTCTTCATTATTGTGAACTCATGCTACATCCAGTACTGTCACGGACATAAGTATGGACTACAAACTCACTTTACACCCAGTACTGTCACGGACATAAGTATGGACTACTAACTCATGTTACACCCAGTACTGTCACGAACACAAGTATGAACTACAAACTCACGTTACACCCAGTACTGTCACGAACACAAGTATGGACTACAAACTCACGCTACCCTCGTCATAGTTATGAACTCATGCAAGGACTAAAAAGCTACAATATTTTTCATTGTTAGAAGTACGAGTAAGGAATGTACAAACGTAAACTACACTTGTTATTGGTAAGGACATAACTATGGACTAAAAACTGTTGTTACACTCACTACTGTTACAGACATAACTATGGACTAAAAACTGCTGTTACATTCAATACTGTTACAGACATAACTATGGACTTAAAACTGTTGTTACACTCAATACTGTTACAGACATAACTATGGACTAAAAACTGCTGTTTCATTCAATACTGTTACAGACATAACTATGGACTTAAAACTGTTGTTACACTCAATACTGTTACAGACATAACTATGGACTAGAAACTGTTGTTACACTAAATACTGCTACAGACAGAACTATGGAATAGAAACTGTTGTTACACTCAGTGCTACTACAGACACAATTATGGACTATAAACTGTTGTTTGTTTGCCCTCCCCACACTCTGGCGCCATCTATGAATGAAGATAACGTTAACTTACGTCAAATAAAATAAATGCTCAATAAGAGCTATAATTGGGAATAAAAAGGTTGTGCACCCCTCATTAACATGCCCCTTGTTCGAAACTATTATCCTACACAGTTTGGTTGAGATTGGCCAAACGACCTAGGAGTAGTTAGATAACAGACAAACAGATATTTGTGCTATATTCTTTGTCTCTACACTCATTCTTGTTACAAACACTAGTATGGACTACGATCTGTTATTATATTCCTTATCGTTACAAACACCAGTATGGACTAATATCTGTTACTACAATCGTTATCGTAACAGTCAACAACATGGATTAAAAATCGTCATTATATTCTTTTGTTGTCATAGACATTAGTATTACTACGAAGTGACACTTCACTTTCTTTGTTAGAGATACTAATGTAGACTATACAGACTGGAACGTTATACTTGCTATTATCATAGACACTAGTGTAGAATACAGAAACTCAAACGTTATACTCGTTATCATTACAGACACCATATAGTATAGACTATACAGACTGGAACGTTATACTCGTTATCATTACAGACACCATATAGTGTAGACTATAGAAACTGGAACGTTATACTTGCTATTATCATAGACACTAGTGTAGACTATAGAAACTGAAACGTTATACTCGTTATCATTAGAGACACCATATAGTGTAGACTATACAGACTGGAACGTTATACTCGTTATCATTACAGACACCATATAGTGTAGACTACAGAAACTGAAACATTATACTCGTTATCATTAGATACACCATATAGTGTACACTATACAGACTGGAACGTTATACTCGTTATCATTAGATACACCATATAGTGTACACTATACAGACTGGAACGTTATACTCGTTATCATTACAGACACCATAGTGTAGGCTATAGAAACTGAAACGTTATACTCGTTATCATTACAGACACCATATAGTGTAGACTATAGAAACTGAAACGTTATACTCGTTATCATTACAGACACCATATAGTGTAGACTACAGAAACTGAAACGTTATACTCGTTATCATTACAGACACCACATAGTGTAAACTATAGAAACTGAAACGTTATACTCGTTATCATTACAGACACCATATAGTGTAGACTATAGAAACTGAAACGTTATACTCGTTATCATTACAGACACCATATAGTTAGTACTATAGAAACTGAAACGT